CTCTGAGAGCATCTTTAGCCCTGCTGCTGCCCTCAGGCAGAGAACTGCTGTGTTTGAAGATCAAAGTCATGGAGGTGTGACTCCAAGTTTATATGTGCAGGGAAATTGAAAATTTCCCTAAACTGGAGGGGCCTGCATAAAAAAGTAGGCCACACCCCAGTAATACCTTTCAAAAACAGAAGTTCCACTTTTTTTCGCAAGGTTTTCAGAGATAAATGATTGAAAGTGCATGCTCTAAATCGAGATTTAGTGAGTAACTGGCTTACGTCATTAAGCCTCAATTAGTGACTCAAATTTGAGAACCTTCTGTAGGAGTGTGCCATCCAAATCCACCTACCACCATCTATAAAGTATTACAGAAAAAAGAAAACAAATAATCGATTTAAAAGTGGTGCCTTTTCTGTTAATAATATTTTATAAAATAATGACTTAAATTATTTGTCTCAATGTTGTGCATATATTTTTAATAAAAGCTTTTTTCAGAATGTTAGTGTTTAAAGAAAATTACATTTGCAGGACATTATGGCTCATGTTTAAAGAATGATAAAATATTTGCATGAGAATACACTTATTTGGGCTTCCTGCAGCTCAAATTGTATAACAGCACATGGCGGTTTAGCAACATAAACACTAAAAACACTAGGTTGTTTCAACCCAAATTTGTTACATTTTTTACATTAAAACATTAACATAATAATTGGGATTGTCCATATTTTTCAAACATTAAGTTTGGCAAATTTATCATGTTTTGAGTGAGTTTGATTCAGTTTGCTTTAAATTAAAGCATCTGTAATGTTTACGCATTTGGAATAGCATACCTGTTCTTTGTAATTCACAGTTGTGTGACTCACAATATCAAAATTACTTCCATAAATGAAAAACACATCTTCAATGGGATCATATATAAAAGGGAAAGTCTTTAGCAGGGGAGGTTTTCAATGGTTTGGTCATGTTTGTCCTGAATAGGCGGTGCCAGCTTGGGTTTCCTCCAGGAATTAGGCTTTTTGTTTGTGTCTATAGGCCAGAAGTGACAGCTATTCCTGCACACTCAAAGTAAGCTTATACATTTGTCGTGAGAAAGGCTGTGTCTGCGTCCACCCCTCAAGACATGAAAGTCTCAATTCTGTAACAGGAAGCTCAACTGTACATAGACTTCCACATAAACATACTATAAGAAAGGGGAGTGGTCTAAACAGGCTGGGAAATTAAGGAGGTACAAAAGAAAAGGCCTGAGCAGTGCTTCAAGTGCAATTATATTTAGTGTGACGCTTGTGCTCCTAAAGCAATGTATTATTTTTGAATTGCTCACATATTTTATGTTATACTTTATTTTAACATAAAGCAATATGCCCACACTTATATAATGTAAATAAACTATTTACCATAGGTGTTTCTGTGTAACTTGTTTTCAGATTTCTCAAATGACCACTTACAAAGGATACTGGTCACAATGGATATAGTTTAAAATGTATATTTGATGTTAAATTGCGAAAAGATTATTAAATTTTTTTCAAGTTATATGTTATAAACATTTATAATCTATATATAAATCAATAACTAATGTCGCCTCTCAAAGCATACAATTTAACAGAACGCAAGCAAAACGCAAATTTCCTCAAATAATTTTTCCTGTGCGAAAAATGTCAGTAAATTAACATAATTTAAATCACCCACAAACAATTGTTTAACTATATTTCCTCTCAACTTAACCAGAGATAAAAAGAACAGAAATGTGTCAATAATAATGCATTTTCGTTATTGTGAAGAAATTATTCGTTTTTGAGAATAAAACAAAATAATTACTGGTAAAATAATTGCCTTCAATATGATCCTCAACCTCGTGTGCGTGATTTATAGGTTTTATAACCTAGGTTAGTTTTTTTTTATTTCATAGACATCCAAATTAATTTATGTATATTGGTAAAATGTAGGTGTATTAATATTTCAATTATATAAAAGTAATATGATTTTTAAATGAAAGGATTGTGTTAAATGGGATTTAAGTGATCACTTCTACATGAGCGCCTCTGCAGCGTCTGTCGTTTTTCTTCATTTCGAGCTGAAATGCACATGTAACATGTTGCAAAACAGCAGTTACAAAAAGCTATTGCACAATTGCAATCTATCTTTGAACATAACAAACGTCCATCAAATGAGTGCAACTTAGAGCACATTTGTAGCTCTGAAACCCCGTCTTTCCGAAGCCAGAGTTTTATTCATTTTAATCTTTACTAATGTTTCTTAGGACATTACCAATATATTAATTTCAATGTTAAGATTTAAAATGGAATGCGTGATTTACTCGCGTAAGTTTTTTTTTCAATCCAGTGGATAAATAAATCTTAATTCCCCGAAAATACAATGTGCAGTATCCGTTGTAATGCATTTATTTGGAGGTTAATTTATTTATCCTGACATAAATATTTAAATAGTTGACTTAATACGCATTTTCCACATATTACGTCAAAATAATTATCGAAACATTTTATCCGTCTTATTTCTGTTTTCCGGCAAACATTTTTTGCAGTATTTTCATTCAGTGTTTGGTATTCATCTAACACCAAATGGATTTATGCTTTCTTTTTTTGCATCTTACTTGAGCCCAATAAATATGATTCGTTTGTTTGTCTGTAAATTTGTTATGTTCAATTACATCATTCTCAGAGGGTCCATACTCCATCAATGTTTAATTAAAATTATTAGTAAATACACTGCTAAATACGTTGCAGTGGGCATCATTGTGAGGGCATCAGTTAGAGTCCACTAAAGGATTACTGCAGGTCACATAAGGATACACGGGCTTACGGTGTTAAAAGGCCTACGTGTTCTTCAGAATATCTTTTCATATCTTTCTGAAATACATTGCAAATGAACAACAAATATTCAGATCGTAAGGTTTAATGTGTTTCAGTTTGTAAAAGCCCAAGTTTGATTCACCGCAAGATGGCAGCTTTTAAGAGGCAATAAAGACTGTGATCTGCGTCAATAATAGTTAATTGTGATACAACTCATTTCAATCTTCAATCTTGCATTAATAATTTAATTATTTAATCTGAGATCCAATGCGCCCAATCTAGCCATTTTGTCCTCCAATTTTGGCAAAGCTGCTTATACGGTTTCTACAACATTATAATATTTACAAAAAAGTAATTCCTAGCTATTTTACATTTCTAAAAGACGTCTACATATGTAGACATATTAGTCTACATATATGACTGTAATACATTTGTGCAAACGCCCGGAACAATTTTAGATTTTTACAATAATCAAAAAACTGCGTGTGTGTGTGTGTGTGTGTGTGTGTGTGTGTGTGTGTGTGTGTGTGTGTGTGTGTGTGTGTGTGTGTGATTTGTATTCATTTAAATTAATAATATAAGTAAAAATAATTAGACAGAGATAGCCTACAATAAGCCGAAATAATTTCATCCCAAAACAATCGCTATAAAATTGACTTCTCGACAAAAAAGTTCAAAATTAATAACAACAAAAAGAAAAGCAATAAAATAATAGTTGATTTTTTTTTATAAATCTGTCTGTCGCATTCTGCATGTGAGAAAACCCACACTTTGTGTGTGTGTGTGTGTGTGTGTGTGTGTGTGTGTGTGTGTGTGTGTGTAAAAGAGACTGCGCATACATGTCTGCGCATATTTCTGCAGGTGTAGATGAAATCGGTTGGAAAATAGGCAGCCATTGCCCTAATCATTGAAAGCCAGGTTGTGTCTTCCGTCTAGGTGGAATTACAGCTCTTGGTTAACAATTTGGTGGTAATTAGTTACATTTTGGAACATTGGAAATATAAAATTTATGTATTTTAACAAACAAAAAAAATCTGTGTGGTTGAAATGCATGTACAAATTATGATGGCCTAATGTTATACTGTGTTGTGTTTGTAGTGGCCTCATCCCTTCAGTCTGTTAAATGGTAAGCGGGAGTTGGCAGCACTCACCAGCTTCATTAATCAAAAACAAAGAAGAAAAACAAAGTCATTTTAAGCATCACGTCCATTTATCATGCTCGCAACGAAAAACTAACAAATGTGAAAAAAATATTGTTATTGCTGATATTGTTTTATTATTTTTTACCTTTTAATTTAATTTTACAAATATGCATGATTTGAGAAGCTGTCTGTGTTGCGTAAAATCTGCATTTCAGTGTTACCTGCATTTTAGCTAAAAGGCCCTTTAAAATTCAAGACTGTTTGATAATTTTTATAGTCGTGCATAAAAAAATCAACAACATTACGTTTTAAAAAACAAAGTATTTTTTCAAGTGAAATGTACAGTTTTAAACTGTATTTCTTTTGTACGGGCAGGGTTTTCTATACGGATCAATATCAGAGCAGCATGCGCTGAGAAGGAAACGCCATCCAAGCTCGGCAGGACGCTGACCTTTCACTCTACCTACAGGTCACATCATCCTCCCCTAAACAGGTCAACACACAAACACAACTATGTCAAAGTAGCCTGGTTGGCGGCTGGAACATTTATATCCAGCCGCCAACCAACACAGACCAGCAATTGGGCGATTCTGCCAACAGCAGAGAACGTAAGTAAAGATTGTACCCGGTAGCCCGCAGGCAACTGCACATTAATAATAACCATTGTTCTGGTGATTTCTGAATTGGCCAACTGGCTTCTTGTGGGTGGCTTTAAGATGTATTTTCCCTGAATAAAATATGTAGCATATACATTAAGTTCATGTGCACTTCCAACACAATCTCACGGCAATTCGTAACTTACAGTCAACAAAAGAAAAAAGCGCCTAAAATCCTATCCCTTCCCCCAGGCTTTACTCACATGAATATTAATCTGATCCTTCACATTATAAAGTTGTACGCGTTGCACTTGAGCTTTTATACAGATAGTAGCCTAACTCAGATGCGATCGCTCTCAAGTACATCTAGTCTATTAATTACTCATGCTGAAGGATTGTTTTCATAGCACTTTTCGTCTTGTCAGTGATATCATCATACAGGAAAAATAACCTGAGACAATATTCAGTGATGTCTCGGCACAATGTCAAATGCCTTTTATTTAATTCCGCGTTTTTGGCTCTCGGCTGAATGTTGCTGTATCTAGACGATTATGAAAGACTAAAATCCGACTCACAATTGAGCGAACAAGTTGCAGAAACTGACAGCTCTTAGTTTTGCGGGAAAATGTTTCTTTTTTCAGAGCTTTACAAGAGTGCCAGAGTCAAGTTCAAGTTCACGGCCACTTGATTTTAAACTCTATTTAACTTTATTTAAGCGTGAAAGGATATGGCATTATCCAAAGTTAAATCAAAAAATAAAATCTTACTTTATTAGTAAAGAAAATAGGCTACTTATTAATAACTTATTTATATTATGGCTATAAACTCCTAGTTTACAGTTTACATGATGTTTTTGCTCACTGAAAAACGCATGTACTTTTTTTTCTTTTAAAATGCTAAAACATTCAAGTCAGTTCTACAGATATGAGTTTGAAACGCCGAATTGTTAATGGAGAGATAATTCAGCGCTATCTGCTTATCTAGCTTTGAGATAACTGCCAGAAGTTTAGTTTAAAGATAATTTATAGTGTTAATAACATTAAAGCCTAAAAGTTGTCAAAGTTCACTAACAAATACAAGTGATAACATGGAATGAACACGACGCGTTGTAAAGATTGTACACTTGCACCACGTTTTATTATATCTGTATGCAGTAAAATTTTATCACAATAATGGAGAAAACACTTCTCAAACTTTAAACAAAAACACATATAACAAAACAAATGCCCCTGTTTAGCCCATTATTGTACATATTTATAGTAAAGAAACATTCTTTATAAATATTGTTTCATCTGTAGTAAGTAAATACCATAATTTAATTACAAATGGATAAATATGGCAGTCGATATTTACAAAAAGAAGGGTGTAGTTACAGATATTTAACCGCACGACATTAATTTGCCCCACAATCTTCCAAATATATTTCACAATTCAAACTTGCAAAGCACAAAACATCACAAGTTAAGCCCAGCAAACTAAGATATACATTCACAAGCAAATATTGTGTCTTTCTTCGTTAAATGTTGACTTTGGCACTCTTTCCAGTTAATAGTTGTTTAGTTTACAATCAGTTTGCCTTAATGGGATCACAATATTCATTATGATAATACAACTTTATGGTAATATGTGCACTAAAAAGTCCAGTTAGAGAAATAGCTACCATTGAAGGAACATCTATACACCAAAAACCGACAAAATCTATAACAACCATTAGGAAAGAGAGCGCGTAGTATGTACAAAAAAAGAGATGTTTGGTGCGTTTGCGCACGTTTCTTCTGTCGATGTAGGAATGTTATATCCTGCTGGACAAGAGCGTAATATTCAAGCGTTCGTTCTGTACAAGCTGTATATGGATCTCCTGTTTTTCTTTATCGGGTCCTCCTGGGATGGCACAGTCTTAAACATACCATTCACTGAAATTAGACGATAAACTGCTGTGGTTGTTGGAACTGTGGACCGCTGAGGAAGGCGACAGATTGTTGTTGCTTTGGGTCTCAGTGGAGGGAGACACCAGACCAGGGGGTGTTGAGGACTCATAACCAGAACTTGCCGCTGGCGACGAGTCGGATGCAGGTGGGGATGACTCGTGTACCTAAAACGCACAATTTGTTTTTATAATTAATGATCCTCAAAATGTTTATTGGTAAAAACTTGCTTTTGAGAAAACTCTGATAAATCAATTTGTTCAAAAGTACCTCTAGTGCCATTTCTTACTATTTGATAATACACTAGCAAATGCAATTTATAATTAAATATTCTTGATTTCTAACTTGATTTACTTATATTAGTCTACTAAGTGGTATTTACACGTTTTAAATGGCAAACTTTACGTACTTCTTACATTTGTGGTTTAAAAGAACATGGGGAAGTACCTTCATATGCTTTCGAAGAGAGCTGGGGTGAGTGTAGGACTTGTCACACATTTTGCAGAGATATGGTTTGTCTGACGTGTGGACGTGCATATGCTTCTTTCGGTCGCTGCTGTTCGCAAAGCGTCGATCACATCCCTCAAACTCACACTGAAATGGTTTCTCACCTGAGAAGGAAAACATCATAAACAATCACACGATTAGCGATTACCTAAAGCCTAGTCAGCTTTTCAAAAACATCACAAGCACATATTACAACTGAATAAACATATCAATGTATAGTTCTGCAACGTTGTTTACATGCAGTTGTTTTATTAGGCTTCTAAAAACAAACCCCGCATATATTTTGTCGCATTAAAAGCAAACATAAATGAAATTACGCGAGGTTATCATGTGCACGTAGTCGTAACACACAGCTATGCTTTACAACGACATAGGGGGTCACATAAACTCATCGACCATTATAATCATAAACGTGAAGTTAACAAAAAAAGAGAAAATCTAGAATGAATGAATCATAACAAACTCTACAATAATTTGGATTATTTAGCAAACTGCATAAATAAAACAAAATTCAAATAAGGGGGAACAGTCAACGCCATTTCCTATATGCAAGTTTTAGAATTTGTCAGCTCCACTTACTTAGCCATTTGCTTAGAAATAATCAAAATGCAATTAACACCTTGACAAATAGAAGGCTCAATACCTCCGTGTATTCTAAAGAGGAAATTGCTCAAATGTGCAACCCTGGTAATGGCCTGTCTAACACATACACTGACAGTGTAATGGAAAGAATAACAATGGGCCCACATATCGCTCATTCCTAAAGTAAGAAATATATTCTTATTTCGTCATTATAGTGTTGGAAATAGTCTGTATTAATTTTGTTAATTCTTATGTGTAAAGGCGCATGCGTATGTGTGTACCTACACGCAGTGTTTACATTTAGTAGCTAGTCATTGTAAAAAAAAAAAAAAAACTATAACCTAAATAAGGGTCCTTCTTTGGGTATATTTATGCATTGATTCTGATTTTAACAATAGAAAAAATACTCCGCTATCTTTCTAAAAACATACACAATAAACTGGAGAGAATTTCAAAATCCTGACGTAGTCAACCGGGTGCTCGAGTATTGGTCAACGCAAACATTAAACCGGTTGGAGAGATTTACGGCTGCTCTGTGCACGCGATGAGCCCTCGAGTCGCCTTTGACCCGTTTAAAGTTTATGAACCACAAACCTCGACAGTCTCTTACATAATTCACCACATTGTTGCAAAACATCGTATTTACTCCGTACAAGACCATGCATAATCTTACCAGCGGCGTTCACTTACACGATTTGAATACGTGTTCACAAGTATCTGCTTTCAAAGAGCTAAATCTACTTTTAACGTTGATCCAAGTATGCGCTCTCAAAGTCTAAAAATATATCAACCTGGCATAATAAGCTTAGTTTTGCAAGAACCACTATTTGCGATACTATTTTATGAGGCTGGTAAAATCTAGCTTCAAAACATATTGTTATTCAGTATAGCACAAGTAAAAATAAATATAATTACCTGTGTGTGTTCTTTTGTGTATCTTAAGGTTTTCTGATCTTGCAAAGACTTTGCCACATCCAGGGAACGGGCAGGGGAAAGGTTTTTCTCCCGTATGCACGCGGATGTGATTGACCAGTTTATATTTGGCTTTAAATGGTTTGCTTTCCCGCGGACACTCTTCCCAAAAGCAGATATGGTTGCTCTGTTCGGGTCCTCCAACGTGCTCGACAGAGACGTGGGTGACCAGCTCGTGCATGGTGCTGAAAGTTTTATTGCAACTCTTCTTAGGGTTGCTGAGCTGCTCCGGATCGATCCACTTACAGATGAGCTCTTGCTTAATGCACTGCTGCCTCATGTAGCGAAAGAAGGCACCGGGGTGATGGTGATGCGCTGCCATATTCATCCCCATGTTCATATTCATGGAGCCGTACTGGTTGTGCAGCTGGGCGGCCGAGTAAGGATCGGTTCTCGGACTAGAGACCTGGTGGTACTGGTCTGATCGCCCGAAAACCTCCCCTGGTAGTCCGAGTCGCATCTGCCCATTGAGCACATTTGGGGAGCCGTGAGATCCATGCTGTTCGTGAATGCCAGGGAACAGAATGTGGCCTTGGCTGTCTGTGTGAGAATGATGGAGCGAGCCGGCAGTGGGGCCGAAGAGTGCGTGCTGGCCTCCTGCCGGTGATGATTCCCCGAATCCACGGCTGCGAAAGAGAAAGTCCCGCGTGGAGTTAAACGGCGAGCTCGCATATGATGTGACATGAGCCGCGTGCGCACCCAGAGCCGCAGCGGGGTAACCGGGCGCTTGGCTCGTGAATGCAGAACTCTGTCCGGGCGAGAGATCGTGGTTCAGTTTGAAGGCGCCCATGTGCGCCGAGTCGACGAAGCTGTTTTGCGCTAAACTCAAGTCTCTGTCCTGCATCTCACTAGAGGAGTGATGATGTCTGGCAAAGGTGCCCACTCCCAAACCAGGGAACTGATGCCCTGCGTCCAGTAACATGTTTTCGTTGCGCAAAACCAATTCTCTTTCAAGCAGTCTATTCACGGCGCTTCAACAAAACATTTAAGAAAATGAAATAAAATAAAATGCGCTACGGTAATATTAACTTCCAGGTTTGACAACACGACATGAGGCGATGAAGTTCAATCCCCGCTCACAGGGCGAAAAAAAAGCTTTGCGTATTAAGTTAGACTATATTTTTCTTGCGGATAACTTGTTACTCAAAATCCCCAATGCAACGAAATGAAAAGATTCCTTTGCGTTTTTCCTTTCAAACTGAGTCGATGTCGTTGTTTGCGGATTACACGAAAATACGAGTCAATATCTTACTGAGCCTTCCTGGTTCTTGAAGCATCTCGAATTGGAATGTTTATTTCTTTCGCTTGTCTATGTTTATCTCGGAGGGTCCCTCTTTCTCAGTGGACTGGCACTACCTCCTCTTACGCCCCCTTTAACTGGAGCCCGGTCATTCATTTGACGCGCTCTCATTGGCCACCTCTCCTCATCAATCCCAGATGCCCCTCCAATCGAACGCACTGCTTTGGCAACTAATCGCTGATCGCCATCTTCCACTGACAATTACCGCCTACTTTTCGGAGAGCCTTTTCGGGGAATAGGTAGAGGGAAAGCAAAAATAATTACGCTTAATAAAACTGCTTAAAATCTGTAAATCAGTTGCCACACAGGCTCATAAAAGTAAGTGTAATCCATAGTTTTTGGTGGGTGTGTAAAACCTCGCGAAATGCTTAATGACAATGCTTTAAAATGCCTTTGATAAACACTCTGTGGCGCATCTTAATTAGTTACTTTGCCATAATCTAACAAACAGACAGGGTAGTGAGAAATAAATATAAGCTCACAAACCTTGCTTCATGTATTTTAACTTAATCTACAAGTATGGAATACATTTTTGCTGAATAATAACAACAACAACACAAACATTCATCTGTATATAGTTTTGTATGAATGCCAGGATCTGAATAAAGCATGTGATCATGTTTAGGCTATTGACTGACATCAAAAACAAACAAACGTGCATTCATAAATAAAGGTCACACTAGTTTATTGAGATATAAATCATACTATTAAAATATATTTAAGTCAGAAGACGAGTCAAAGGATTTATCGGTATTATATACGTCATTGGCATTAACATAATCTTTCTATGTAATTTTTAATCATTTATTGATGTTAAGAAAATCATAATTATGCTATATATTTTAATACAACTCTAGCAATGTATCAATATTAATTTCTTTATAAAAGAAACCGTATAAGTTACATTTTGAAAAACTTGAATTAAAACAACATTGCAATTATGACAATCTTCAGGCTTAGGCTATGTCTACATATCACCGTGACCTGCTCTTAAGCACAAAGAAACCTAAAACAGTATTTTGCATAGTATAGCGTATCCAAGACCAAAATCTAGCTCCGGTTGCATCCCCTTGTCAAAAAACACAATATGACATACCTTTAATTAAAAAAAAGAAAGAAAAAAACAATGACGTCATGAACGAGAGCCTAATACTTCCAAAAGAATAAATAAGGGAATCTGCATGGCTTAAAATCAAGTTCAGCGGCATATTGTGGTTGCAGAACTAGCGTGTATGCGTGCTTTTTTCTAGCCTTTGTAGATGACCCTGTCTGTAGCCTACACTGACAACATAGAAACCGTCAAACTGAGGTTATCCAAGCATGTGAACATGGATACGCTTTCCGGATTTCAGGCCAATGTACACCAGGGACCATTTTTGATCTAGGAAAAATCTTGAGACGAAGTTTGTTTTATTTTTAACATTTAGTTAAAGAAAGTTTACTTACAATTTCATTGACTCTAAGTCCCCCAGAGTCCCGTTCAACGCACTCCGGCTTTCCTCTCTTTTCTACGCTTAAAGCTGTAAATAATAGAGCGGACGACTTATAAAACTTTGGGAATTCTGTGTTCCTCAGCTCACAGCCATACTGTTTGAACGTTATGTACCATTCTTCCAAGACTATTTCTACCCTCTCCACAGGAAACACAGGATCTGATCCAAGTTCAAAGTCACGTCTGCCGACCTCTTTAAGAAGTTCTTTATTTCTCCAGAAAACCACAAAAACCTTTCCCCTTTTCAATGGGCAGGGAGAAGAAGAAAGAGAAATTAGACCGAGAGTGCAGTGGGCCTGGAACACACAGCCGCAGTTTTTGTTCTTCTTTTGTCATGTTGCAAAAAAAAAAAAAAAAAAAAAAAAAGAGGGGGGAAGTTAGAAAAGAATAAAGACTAAAATACACGCTAACTCGCTAACTCGGGCAGTGGCAGTACAGGAAAACTCTAAAAATAATTTCAAATATACATATACGTCAGTGACCGAATAACCTTTATTTACGTGTTATTTGAACGGAGAAAATCACAACTAATCTTCAAATACTTTAAGTCAGCGATCATGCCTCTATACTGACGGGAAATATAGGTTTCAATTAATGTTTAATGATCTTAGACAAAGCGACAAGGCATTTCTTTTAACTTTGACATCATCAATATGGTAACGCATTGTTGCTTACTTTTAGTGACCTTGGGTATTTTAAGGGTGTTTGACCTTCGACCCGTGGAAACCACATATGCTACCCTTTGAACTTATTAAGAAATCGTCTCTGTTCAAAGGTTTCAAGAAGGCAAGTGCTGCCTTCTTTCTCCGTTACATCGATTCGTAATAAGTGTCAACCTTTTATAAATTCAGAATTTTTGACATTCTCATTATAGACTTTTATTACAAGTTCATACACCTGTCTACTTTATTGTAAGTATATAAGCAATTAAATACTTATATTAATTACACTCCTAAATAAGATTGTCCATAGCAATTTAATGATAAACATCGCAAATCTAAATTTGAATGCATGTATATTGTTATGCTTCTGACACATTAACCGGCATAGATTGTAGTTCCATTCACCCTAAATTAAGACCCTTGACAAAGCTGACAGGCAGGATCAGGCTTTTGCAGGAAATCACGAAACTTTCAGTTTTAGTGCAGGTGCAGCTTACGTTACTTATGAGATATACAGTTTATAATTAGCGGAATATCAAAATACTATTATTACATTTTTCAAAGATTGATTAATACTGAGTGGAGAATTATATCTTTGTTCAACTAAAAGGTTCATACATTTTTTTAAATTAATTTTGGATCTTGAATTTTAGTACTGTTAGACGGGGTAATAGCAGAACATTTTTTTTAAATAAATTATTAAATAATAAATTATTATTTAATGTAAAAAAATGGCCTGTTATTTCTATCTTCTTTTGTTTCCAATTTACCTTTGGCAATTAAGTTTTAAAATAATTATTTTGAATTTGGTAAAACTGCCCTAAAGCATTTTAAAAATGTCTTTGAATTAAGACATAATAAATCAATGGCGTACACTTCCAGCTGAGTTCAACATGCACTCTAAAACAGCGTAGACATGCATCTCCATACACGTACAGCGTGCACAAATAAGTAAGGGACAAAACAAAGTGAAGAGTAATGTTTATTGAACTTTTTTTAGACAATTAGACTGACCAACTTCCAGTCATATATATATATATATATATATATATATATATATATATATATATATATATATATATATATATATATATATATATATATATATGTGTGTGTGTGTGTGTGTGTGTGTGTGTGTGTGTCAGTCAGTCAAATGGCATTTTATTCAGTATTTGCACAGGAATCATTCAAGATCTGACAGTGCCCAGTAGAGTGAGATCTACAATGTTCAAAATACATCTTAATCACTGAACAAAATATTAAATTTTGACATGTTTTAATGATTAAGAAAAAATATGCAGTGATATTAATAAACTCAACCATGACAGGGGAGCACAGAATTTAACGTTTTTGTTGTGTTAAATTGTTTTGTTATTTTTTTTATTAAAGCACAAAACCTAATCGTTTTTTAAAATGTGTGTCATTGTATAATTATTTTTAATAATTAAGTTTTACATGTATACAGTCCAATAATTAAAAACAAATTATACTGTGTGTTTATTTTGCGCAATTTTAATTTTATTAACTTGGTTCCCTGTTTATCCGTAGTCAACAAAACGTATTACTTTGTAAAAATATTTAATTACATTTTAAATACGTGAACAGAGTTGTGTTTAATGACAGTATTTATTTGAATTACATTTCTAAATATAATTTGATCTGTGTGTGGGGGTGTTGCACAATATGCTCCGCGTGTGTAGTGTCACTGTTTTGTGCAAAAAGAAAAACAACATCCTTCCACGTGTGTGTGTGTCTCGGTAAACAGATTTGCCTGTAACTTTGTGAGCACAACTTTCTGGAGTGAACAGTGATGAAGAGAGTGAGGGGGCGGAACCCCGCTGAGCCTCTGCGCTGAAAGACAGCCAATCGCTTCGTTCTCTTAACTGCCAGTCACCGAAATCTGTCCAATACCCGCAGTGCCATTTCTAAACTCTATTCCCCACTGTGTCCTCCAACTGTTGTATGTTCTGCCAATCGCTTGAGGACAGAGTGGGAAAAGGAGCAAGCAGAGTTAGAGGCAGGACAAAAGAAGTTCTATAGACGGCCATATACATATATTTTAATGGTTTCAGAAGGCCCGTAGTTGGCGAAAACAATAGCGTTGAGCGTGGACATGACAGCGTAGTGATGGAGCCCCCTTTAAGCAAGAGGAATTCGGCGATAAGATTAGCGGATTTGGCATCGACTCAAGCCCTTCCTCATCAGAATATGACAGGCTTCCCGGGGATAGGGGGGCATCACCCGCACTCCCACCATGCCCACCTCCACCCTGGGGAGATGGGCAACGACCCCGGAGTGGCTCTCACTCCATTTGGACCCGAGCACATGGCACAGACCAATGCTCTCAAACTTAGTCCATCTCAGCCTGTTCAAAGCCATCCCGAAGCCCAGACCGCGGCATCTTTCACGTCTTCTCAGACTACAGTTGGTTTCCCCGTGGCTCACCCCCACACAGGCTACACCACCAGCAGGGACTTCATCCTCAGGAGAGAGCTCTCAGCCTCTGCTATGCATGCACTTGGCGACCAGCATAGTTCCGCCTCCTCCCCTCATCACCATGGCATGTTCATTTCCCCAACAGGTGCTTATGGGCACGCGGAAGGTGGTGCCCATCCACTTTTCTCTGGACTGCACGAGCAAGCGGCCCCAGGTGCCCACCACCACCACCATGCCCTCAACGGGCAGATGCGCCTGGGTCTACCGGGGGACATCTACGGCAGGCCAGAGCACTTCGGCCACAGGCCCGAGCACTATGGATCTTCTTCTCTGCACAGCTACAACTCCATGAACTTAAATGTGAACCTCGCCACGGCTCCTCACGGAGCCACGGGGGCGTTTTTGCGATACATGCGGCAGCCCATCAAGCAGGAGCTCATCTGCAAGTGGATAGACCAGGAACAGACTGCCAAGAAGCCCTGCTCGAAAACTTTCAGCACCATGCATGAGCTCGTCAACCATGTCACAGTGGAGCACGTTGGCGGACCGGAGCAGAGCACTCACGTTTGCTTCTGGGAAGAGTGTCCGCGCGAGGGAAAAGCGTTTAAAGCCAAGTACAAACTGATCAATCACATCCGCGTGCACACTGGCGAGAAGCCGTTCCCGTGTCCTTTTCCAGGTTGTGGCAAGGTATTCGCGCGTTCGGAAAATCTCAAGATTCACAAGAGGACGCACACAGGTTAGTGAAAATTCTTTAAAACTTTAGTCGTGTTTATAGGCGCCTGTTATTGAACGTGTTTGCTCTCCTTGGCGGGTAATCGAATTTTCTTGATATGTAGCATTTATTGGGGGAACAGAAACACTGCTCCGCCTCGTGCACAAATATTCATCTTCAAAAAGAAGGACGATTATTGGATTGTTTGTTTACTGTGCAACTTCTTGAGATCAACGTGCATAATGTTGCTATTCTTGTACGTAAAGGTTGAGCTTTTGCTGCTATGAGCTGTCAGTGTTCTTATGTTAGGCTACATATATAGGGAAAACTTGGAGTTACACTTTGTTGCTTAAGTTGTTCCTTTTGTTTTTGAGCAGTATATTTGATGCACGCGATTTTATATCGGTTGACATGCAAAATTTATCAACAGTTTAATTCCGTTCAACGTGTGTAAACAGAAGGAATTTAATTCAGGTGAACTAGACATGAAGTAATGGCTGAGTTTGCGGCACGTGTTTGTCTCTTAAAGCCACTGGGAACATTTTGTGAATAAATCCATACTAATGTGAATACGGAGAATAGGCCAGTCATGGGGCATTTTGATTTACCAAACTATTTTGGCATCTAGAGCGAGGAAGGCCTCTGCATAGGTGATGTGCATATTTAACTGGAACATTGTGTTTTTAACGTAAATACCTTCACCCAGCCATTAAAAATAAAAACACGTGAACCTTTTAAACTAGTCATTTGTTTTTGTCAGTAGTGAAAAAGTTGCAGGTTTTGTTTAGGGTCTCGAACTACCTTTTACTTTCACGCTGACGTAAAATGCGACCTAAATATGTAGGCTAGCGTGTCAAACCCATCCAGAGTACGTTTATATTAGTGTTTGTCTTGACTCAGCAAATCAAATGTCTAAAAAGTTATGTTTTATTGTATTAAGACTCCTTACAGCAACATAGCATTTGTACAACGTGTAATGTAAAGTTATGGCAATATATTATTTAGATATATTGTAAAGGCGGGACAGTTTTTGAGTAATTCTCCCCCGTCTTCAGTAGTTGACTCAGCTGCACATCCAGCAAAAACAATAAAATGACTTGTTGATGATATTTTGGCAAGGTTCAGTCAGAGAAAATGTGAGCATTTACGAAGTGGTTGCATATGTCATGTGGTGTTTCTGAACATTCAATATGTAATAGCACAGAATAAGTACTCTGAGGTTATAGTGATGTTGTGATTTTCAAAACGGCACCATATGCATGAGAATGAAGCATCCAATAGTTACTAGGCCTATCTTTTTTGCAAGAATGTTGTAAAATTGATAAAGAGACGTGTGTCTGATTTCAATATCTAAATGCTATCTTTTTACATTTGACAGGTGAGAAGCCATTCAAATGCGAGTTTGATGGCTGCGACAGGAAATTCGCCAACAGCAGTGACAGGAAGAAGCACTCGCACGTCCACACAAGTGATAAGCCTTACTTCTGTAAAGTGAGGGGCTGTGACAAGTCGTACACACACCCGAGCTCTCTGCGCAAACACATGAAGGTTCACTGCAAGTCTCCTCCGCCCCCTTCCGCCAACACGGGCTCTTCTTACCATCCCTCATCTACTACGATCGGTGATGCCCTTTCACCAAACCTAGATCCCCACAGGAACCGTTCGTCGAACCTTTCTCCTCAGGTGACCAACCTAAACGAATGGTACGTGTGCCAAGGGAGTGCTGGACCAAATAATCTACACACCCCCTCCAGTGATGTGCCAACGTCGGAATCCGACGACGAGGACTCTTTCAGACACACAGATCCAAGGGCAATGCTCTGATGTGTACAGCAAGGAATATATTCAATATGAATGGTCCACGTAAAAAAAGTCAGTTCGTAAAAGTGGAACACCTATGGATGTCAGTGGGTGAAAAGTTTTGCCCCCCAGTTTGCCCTTAAAACATGCTCAGAGCATTGATGCAATTTATGTTCCATATAATAATCACATCCATTATCAGTTGCAACTTGCTAGATATGAAACCGACTTGTCCATGTTTTTAAGATTTTACCTGACTTGTCATCAAATATCATGAGCTCAAAAGATGTGTCATGTTTAGGTCGTTTTTGTAATAATACATACCCTTTGTTGCACAAAAACCTTTTTATAGATAATTTTACACGTTAAATGTCTGAGGGGCAAAAATTGCTGTGACAATAATTTTGAGTTTTTACTTGTATATTGTCAGTGTCAAAAATGAATGGGTGGAGTTTTTGTTAAAGTTTATACAATAACTGTGGTCAGGACGGTTTTTGTGATATTTAAAATATTTAAACCTATATTTTATGCAAATAATTGTAACTCTGATTAAGGAGTACGAAATATGTCCACTGAGACCCTAAATAATGTATCGTTGATAGGCCTATCTCTGACTGATTTGTAAATATTATATGGTATTGATGCTTGTGAATGTTTTCGTAGCGTCTCAACGAGTTTTGTACATTGTAATTTATTTGCTGTTATTAATGTTGGTCTGGAAGTACAGATACACCAAAGAATAATATAATTTTGGTGAAAAGAAGTGATGCTTTTTATCGTGTTCTGTAAAAAAGGTCTTACTTGAATAGGTTGTATAATGTGAAGAATCGTTCGCATGAACCGTGTAGTTTTCTGTTGAGGTGCATGATGGTATTGATGGAAAAAAGTAAGAAGGTCGTGAAGAAATGTGATGTTTGTGTATAGATATATAAACTTGAATAAAAGGCAGGACGTGTAAATATGGTCTTTTCAGTAAAAAGGCCTCGTTTCATTCATTCAATAGTGTCTGTATCTTATTTAAAATGCAAGAAATCTGTCTTAATGCAATTAAAAACAATGTTGCGGCAAGAAGTTTTCTGTAAAAAGTCCCAGTCAAGCTAACAAAACAGAAATGTTTAACAATACACACTTTTTTTTAGACATTTTCCCCAGATTTTTCTTACAGCTTGAAAATATTCGCTGTCCATTTTTATCCTCCCAAAAGGGATCCATCACCTAACTAATAATGAACTTTATGAAAAGCGGAATAGCACAAAGCCATCAATACATGAATCATTCATGGGAATATAAGGCATAAAGCTATCTGACAATGAAAAGAAAGTTGTATGGAGAATATAAAACAAAGTGCCTTGTCTTCTTTCCTTCATTAAAACACAGTCACACTTCCAAAGTGCCCCCTGTCCCAGACTATAGACTCAGAACTGACCAGCGCAAGTGCTGCACCACTTCAAAGAGCCCCACATCAGAACGGAAGACTGCACGGTGCGTTAGGATTTCTATGGGTCCCATTTGAATATTTATGGTAGAAAAACTACTAACTGCGGCTAAATGGTCAATCATCAAAGCAGAAACCTCTCCCACGAACCGTCGTGCTCTTTAATATCAGGGCATTCGACACTTTGTATTGGAGAAGTAGAAACATAGGCATATTAAGCAATTCATGCGATGGGTAAATGTAAAAGTGTATCAAGAAGTTCTAAAAAGACTTTACTTTTAACTTGAGTCTTTAATTACAACAATAAAGAATCTCGGTAGTCTCTGTGGAATAAAGGTTGCAAGTTGGTGCATCGTTTGGGATTGTAAATCTAGCGTTTTGTGTCAGTGAAAGCCCCGTAAATAGTGAGAAGTTCAAGGGCACTTTATAAAGCGCGCGTGTGTTTGCCGGGCACTGGGGAAAAAGCACACTTCAATTGGAAACACTCTATTAAGATACAGTCGCACTGACCTTTAGTTTCATGCTACGTTAGAGCAGTCAATTCGCTCTTCATCGGAATCGTTCATATTTTGTTCCCAAATCTTTGAAATACCTCGCGCGTATTAACGTTTAATTCAGAAATAAGCGCGCGCTCTGCCCATCTTTTGTACCCGAACTATTATTTGCTCAAGGAAAGAATGATCTTCTATTTATTTAAAACAAGTGCCCTTTGAATAGTGCAAAATAAACACGGTGAAAAATAACCAAAGAGATAGTCCCCTCGGACTGAAAAGGGGGGACTTCATAAAAGCTGCAGCAGTCACAGCTGAATGGGAGACGCTTTGAAGTAGAACTTATTATCTGAGGAATACTTTTCGGTCGTCCTAACGACGCTATTGAATCGAAAAGCTACCCCCTTTGTCAGCGATTTGTTCTCCTTTAGTGCAATGCCCGTGGAAATCACTTACATGGTCTACCTTAACATGCAGCCTGCAAATCAGTAACTCCAAGAGTCAGACTCTCAGACGCCACTTTTCAAAAGACAAAGCAGAAGTCAGTGTGAAAACGCAGCGAGTTCTCTCCCATTTTGCCTTTATTGGACAGAATGATCACATCAGAGGAGGCTGTTTACAACAGTCTAGTCAGATTTCACACCGTCAGCTTCTCATTATGTGTTTGACGAGGGTTCAAAGTACCCAAGTCATTGTGCACCCTGTTTTAAGTGATGCACCAAAGCACTTGCAATAAGAGGAAAACATTCAACTTTGCCATTATTTCTCCAAAACGCACTTTACACTTTATCTGTTTGAACGTCGCGCATATGCTCGACTCACACTGCCAGATTTCATCTTGCAGAGCTTGCAAAGTCTCAGAGGTAAATTATGGCACTAATGAAATATTTGCCATGGCGTTTGAGCGTCTAGGGAGAGAAAGACATTTAGGCTACACGAAATATTAAATGACACAAATATAATGTGGTTGTAAATTCTCGTATGTTTGGTCAAACTCTGAGCAAGTAATATTTAATAAAATTGCACACTTGTCAGAAAAAGCCGAAGTAAGAACGGATCAAATTATAGCTACTTATTAACAAAATCACCAGCAGATAAACACATTTGCTGTCTAAATAATTTAAACATATTGTGATTAATTGTTAAATGTTGCATTTGATTTTAATAAAATAACACAACATTATATTTGATTAATAAAATGATGTGAATGGTAATACATTTATTTAATCGCGTCTTTAAAACACATTATGTCTAGTCTAGTTTTAAATGTTTTGTCTGTCGGGCTCTTTAACAAGTCCCTGAAGAAAAGAAAAAAAGAAAGAAAAGACACTTAAAAAACACTTCTGCCCCAAACACTTTCAAAATAATTACAACTTGAAGTATGCTAAGCATTATAAACATCCTTTCAGTGTTTTACCACAGTATGCTTTGAGGAGCAAGAAAACTGGGCACATACTCATTCTCCAGGCACACTGCCAAACTCTTCCAAGCACCCTACCTGCCCACTATCTTAAGTTTCCAGAATAAGTGAGAAAACACAATCCAGTTGCAGCTGCAGGTCTGCATGTTTCCTCCCTGCACTCCGAGACTGAACTCTAAAACACGGACAAGAAAACTTTGACGCATGGGCGAAAACTCATGGGGTGTTTATACAGTGCAACGTGAGTACATGTTTTATGAGCTCAACTCAGAAAAAAAGGCTGCTGCATGCTTTTATCGTTATGGCTAACAGTCGCTTAGCGCGCTTATTGATAGGTGTCGTGCTTGTCCTTCGTGCATGCGTGTAAAGATGAGGCTGTTGAGAAAGTTTGCCGTCCCATCAAGTTAGAGGCCGGGTGAGTAGTTGTTTGCTATTTGCTCTGAAAGCTCGAGCTCGACTCAGACAGCTGTGAGTTCACCTATTAGCCCCGATGTCTTTCCCAAAAGATTGCTTGAGTTAAACATCTGACAATGAGCGCTCAGGGGTGCCGCTCGCCTGACCTCCACTCGCTTTTAATAGTTTCATAGGAACTTCATTAAATCAATTACTCCACGAGCACATCAGAATTTGTTTGTGCTTATCTCTCAAAATACTCTATAATAACATGTTTATGGATATGTCGTTAATAAACATCATAAAAAGTTTAAGGGTTCAGGTTGCAAACATACGGAAATACACCGAAAACAACGATTTCTGCAAAAAATGTTACAAAAAATACTTTTGTAAAGTTTAACTTAATTTGTCAGTTTAAATTCATTTTAAATAAATTGTTTACAATTACTTAATAACGTAAGAAAAAAATAGTAATTTATTTGAATTTTTTTCACTCGAAGAGATTGTGGCGCTTTATCTTATCAGTTTAGCAATGGAATAATGTTTGTTAATTCATTGGAAATGTAATGTAATTGTTAGTTTTTCATTAGAGAGAAAAGGTTTCAGGATTTTACTACGGCTTAATTTTACAAATGACAAATGTATTTTCTATGCTGTATAAAAGGGACTGCAGTTGAATTGACGTTCACTGCACTCGGTTGAATTGAAAGTTTCCAACAAATAATAAAACATTGACAGAAATTTTTAATTAGTAAACTATGCCTGGTGTTCGTGACTATGAAATGTATAGGATCCGTTCATTTTAGAAAAATATTGTAGCAGTTATAATAATAGGTTTGAATGACAAATATTTTTTTAATTAGTTAATTATGCCTGTCCAGTATGACTAGGAACATGAAGTGTCCGTCAATTTAAGTGAAAAGTTGTAACAAACATTGTAGTAATTTAAGATCAACCAGTAGAACGAACCCTGCACTGTAAAAAAAAAAAAAAAAACTGGTTGTCCTAAATGTCTAAGCTACATCAAATTAACATTATGAGTCCATTGAACTTATAGTATGTTAAACTGACTTAAAACTGCTAGCATAACTTATAAAATTAAGTAAGAACATAATAAACTTTTTTACAATGACCTAAAATATATGCTGTCATGACTAACTGTTTATATACTTTTTTACTGTGTGATATTGAACCAAGTGCTAAAATCTGTTTAAAATACACACAAATAGTGAGCAATATGTGAATATAATGTGTGTGTGTGTGTGTGTGTGTGTGTGTGTGTGTATAATATAGTTTTATATAATTTCTAAGTTTATATAATTTATATTTACTTGTAAATTAGCAATCATGCTAATTTAGGCTTAGTGTTAGAAAAACAGACTAATTTATTATTCAACGTAGTGGCCTTATCAATGACATATCAAATGTAAAGTCTTACAACATTAAGGTAAAATATGAATATACTGTAAATCTCAGCATATGCATTAGAGAGATGAAGCTTTTCATCGCTAACACATATGAATCATCTCGCCTGTCTGCATGAGACAACTGTCATCATATCTGGCCTCTCCACAACATCTGTGGGCCTCCAAACTTGGTGCTGGTCCAAATATGGATCCCCAGGATTGGGAGGCTTTCCAAGGCACTTGGTGATGAGAGCAAGGTCGTCCACGGACATGACCAAGAGCCAAAGCTCTACACCTGGTCCATTCAGCCTATGCAGCACATGGACCAATACCACTTCTCTGCTTGCCTTGTATTTGACAGGTCCTGTTTAAATGGCCCTAAATGCAGGTCTGGACTTCTAATAGAAAATCCCTCCATCCATGTGGCAAATGTTCAAGCGTTTGCAGGATGGGGATTAACTTATCAAAGAATGTAAATATATATAAAAGATGAGCTTTCTTGAATGAGAACAGTGGATTTGTTTAGAAAGCTACACCATGTAAGCAAATTGAGACCTCTGTTCCATAATGCAAAATGTTAGCATATTATTTTATTAGTATAAAACTAAAGATTTAATCTTACATAAAGAATAAGCACCTATGGATATAAATAAAGTTACTGTTATACAGTTTCAATAGCTATAAATATATATAAAAAACACATGTTATTACTAAATATAGTTCTGGAAGAAAATAAGAGATAACTTGTTTATTGTCTGTTCTATAGATCTGCCATTAATAGAAACATTAAATGTATTAAAAATAAGTTTAAAACTGTTATCTGTCCTTTACCGGTCTATTAAAGTGGTACATTATCACGAGTCAAAAACAACAATACATTCATAGTTTTAAAGCAGCTTTATATATAATCATAAATATTTTTTTACGTAAAAAAGAGCAGTATGTCAACGCACAAACTATGTGCATTCATTGAACAATCCTTACAGCATTGGCTTCCCATTTTGATTTTACATCCTGTAGATGCTGATCCATTCCACATCTGACGAACTACCATGAGCAGCACATCAGAGTCGTGCCTCTGAATACAGCATCTTTCATAGAGGAAAAGGTCAACATTCAGTGAGAGGAAATCATCCTGCACAGCTGGACAACCACAGTGCTGGATCATCTCAGCGAGAAAAGAGAGTACAAATATACAACTCTTAAGTGTAAGAGAAGAACAGTCAAAGCCCTCAAAAATCCAGTCTGCTTCTATGACTTCCACATTACGATCACCTACATTAAGCATGCATCCAGTGCTTAATAAACACAGGCTCACCTAAAACCTCCTGGACTCACCGGCCACCTAAACCCCCTGTTGCCTTCACAAGGGTGGCTAGATGTTCTTAAACATCACAAGCCTCATTCTCTGTTTCAAGCTGACCTTGGAATGGCCATTAGACATGGCTTTGAACTACTGGAACTATCTCTTATAGACCAGTGTCAAGGGTCCCCCTGAGTTGATAATGACTTGCTTTCATAACTGCTGTGACATTTTGTGAAGGTACGCTAGGCGTGCTTACAGGCCATATCTACAGAATGCAATGCTTCCTTTCCCCCTCAGCAGGTGTGAATCTGAGCTGCATAGTCTGCGATTTACAGTGCTGTGTTTGCGCATCCTGGAATAAGCATAGGCCACACGCATATGTCCAACCTTGATAAGCAATTTGGCTCACTATAGTGTCGACATGAATACGGCTGTACAGTGGGGACGCTTAGTTAAACATCAGAAACACAGTACTATGATGAAGCTGGCGTAGTGTGTTATGGATATTTTTAGTTATCTAAGCCATATGCTGGGGTAAAATTGTTGGATCAGTCACTTCTTGCATCATTTTTAAAGTGCCTTTATTTTAAAGAAAAATAAGTTTGTATATAGGGGATAGTTCACCCAAAAATGAACAATTATGTCATTATTTGATCACCCTTTACTTGTTTCAATCCTATATAAGTCTGTTCTGTAGAAGATATTTTGAAGGAAGCTGGAAACCTGTAACCATTGACTGTCAGAATGTCAGCATTCAGAATATCTTCTTTTATGTTTAACAGAAGAATTTTTAATTTTTTTGAACTAACAAAGCCTTTAAAATGAAATACAATATAGAGTGATAACCAGTTATTCAAATTTCTTGCATTTCGATTAATGATTTGATCTTTGTTGTAATAGACTGGCGACCCTTCTCAGTAATCATGTTTCTTTGTTTTATCACAAATTAAACTATCTGTAAGGTGTTAAAAAGTTTTAAAATATCTTCAAAGTCTAAATTTTAGGCGTTAAAAGTCTTAAATTTACTGCAATATTGTCTTGTAAGTCTTAAATAATTTTTAACAGGTCTTCATTTTCACCTATCCAATCACTAACCTTCCTTCTCAATAAAAAATTTAACAAAAGATTATTTATTAACTTTATTAACCAATATGGTAACATTATCTTCCTACAATGTTTTAACTGGGCCAGTGGAAAAAATTCAAAATGTTTGGCTTTGTATAATGGTAGACCATTTCATTACCAATGGTCTTAAAAAGGTCTTAAATTTAACTTGATTTAACCTGTAGAAACCCCATTTATATTACTATGCAGTACACTGTACATAAACATAACATCAACATGTTGGTATAAAGTTTACAGTTTTACAATTTACAGTGCTCAGCATATATGCGTACACCCCTCTAAAAATCTATCTCTTAGATTCATAGTTTTAATAGGAATCTGTACAATATTATTTTTGTGCATATACATTAGATTAGTCAGTACTGAAGCCAAATCTGGAGCTTATCTAACAAAATAACTTACTTAAACAGTCAAAAACGATTACACACAAATTTATGGTATAGAAAAACATTAAACACAAATTTAAAAAATAGAAGTTTTGTTGAAATTTTGTAGGTTTTATTTATTTATTTTTTGCATTATTTAGCCTGAATGTAATTGTATTATCTTTCAATATCTAAATATGTTTGGTGACTAAAATCTTATTTTAATAAATATATCTGTTTAATTAATCTCTTTTGTTTAAATGCACTAAAATACATTGCCTACATCCACTGAAAAAAGGATAAAAATATTCACTTTCAAAATGGGGTGTACTCAATTATGCTGAGCACTGTATATGGCAGTTTTCAATTTTGCCCACTATACTGCCTTCATGGCTACATTTCTTACATTACCTTATAGAAACCCTGTCAGATCTGATGTGAAATCTGAATCACGTAGGCCGCTGAATGTCTTCATGCCATGTCTAGTTCCTGCATGTGGATGGAAGAAGAGATAAATGAACTCTCTCGCTGTGCCCTTACATAAATGAGGGTTGATGAAAATGATGATAGGCTCGAGCTGCTGAAGAACTGATCCCAGTGGAGACCTTACAGTGCTCTGTCCCACTCACAAGACAAATTATATAATTAGGCACATGTCTTAGGGGACGCCAACCTTTGGCCCTTTCTTGACATCTTCAATGCTAAATGACAGCATATCTTGCTAAAATAACTGGGCAAATTCATCTTGGTGACACAAGCCGAATTCTCTTTACAGTTGTATTAATTGTCTGGTTTGGAGAAATCCCACTGAAATTACAATATCCAGCTACTCAAGGGAAACATTCTATTTGATTATAAAGATGATCACAATTCTTGGAGAGAGGAGTCAAAAGCAAATTGTTTTAACTGTATGGTAATTTGCATAAGTAATATTAAAATAATCTATTAATAAAATGTGATGGTTTGTGACCTGATGTTTTAAAAATTAATTATTTTGGGTTGATTATAAGGGGAGCAGTAATTTCTTTTTACACTTTATTTTCCTTCACTTAAAGATAAATAAGTTATACCAGTATTCATTTAATAGAAGATGCAACTATTGGTAGACTAAATAATTGATATAAAGGACAAGAATATAATATTAAATTAATTGGAAAAGACATATCTTAGAAATACCTCCATTGTAAGTGTTTTAAAGCAATATTATAATAATCAACTGTATCTGAAATTAAAGACTAGCTCAAATTTATCACTTTCCTAAGTTTTTGCTCCCCATAGAGTTTATTTTCTTTAATATGTCAGACATGTTATGCATTTAAAAAGCAATTTTTTTTTTCAGAAGGAAAACTGCTTGATCTTATGTATACATTAATCGGCTGAGTCAAGACCGACTGATTTAATTTAACTTTGGTTAAATGACAAAGGATAAACAGTAACAAAATAACTCACTAAGATCCCAAAGATACTTATTGTAGTTATTTATTTATGTATAATTTTTAAAGATGTTACTCCACCATGTTTCTGGATTTAAGAATAGAGTCTGTTAATTCCCCCCCTTTCTTCTACAAGATGCCTTATTGTCGGTTTCAAATTGTAGCCCTGACTTCTTACGTGTGAAAATCACCTAAAATAAGAACGCACAATTCTTTTCCCTCTCATATAAGGAGAGTTCTGATGCCATAAAGCGGAATGGCCCTCTCGTACAGCCTCCTTTCATCACCTCGTGCTCATCACCGGCATTGTCAAAATGTTGGTCGCGGGCCGCGTGAGGGGCTCCGATTGAAAAAGCAGAGCCCGGGCTCCTGCCTCGACTAGGCATGGGTTAAGCCACCTCTCCAACCAGGCGGCCCCCAGCGGAACCCTCATTACTTTGGCTCCTGGAGCAGTGAGCTGTGCTGTGCTTCAGAGAAGAGAGGCTCCTTACCTGAGCATCAGTGCTTCCACACGCCTTCACCAACCCGATCTGACAGCTCAACCGCAAATGTGATAAAAAAAAAAACATTCCCTATATGAAACGTCGCTGTATTTGTGTTTGTTGGGAGTATGTGACAGCACTTAGTTTGACTTGAGATGCTTTCTAGTGTCAAAGTTTGTTTATTTATCTAAATCTGCTTCAGGTTATAATTTGAAGTGTTTATGCTGTCTGCATTCAAATAAAGCTGCCATTTCTGCGTACTGGGCTTTTAGCTGTGAGGTTTTATTAATTTTCATCCCCCACGTGGTTTCTTTTATCGTGTTATATTATGCTTAAGGTGCTCCGTGGACACTGGGGTTATGGAGACAGAAAATTATTTAACAAATATTTAAATATTGTGGTGAGGAATTATTGCCATGAAAGGTTTCTGGAGGCTACAGATATAAATGTCAAAGCAATAAATTGCTTGTATAAAACGGTCAATGGCATTAATATGGAAAGCTGAATTTAAATTTTACAATTCAACTCGAAGTGAGAAATAAAGCGACGTGGTTGTCTCATTGCGCAGAGTAAAAGGTAAACGGGCATGTTAAAATGATCCACAAGCGTTGTCTCACTTTTCTGTGCCAAGTGATTTTGACATCCTGGTCGGATTCAATTCACTGATGTCAAGAATTAATAATTGTTATTTCAGACAAACAACTTTAATTTTAATAATGAATTCGCTTAAACTCTGAATTATATAATTAATGTTTACTTAGACGCTGATCTATAAAACAACCAAGTGATGCAAATAATTAAATAAGTCTTTGTATAAAAACTGTCTTATTTTGCGCCGAACACATTATTAAACCCTGATTATACAATGTAAAGCCGTGTCTCCTTTATTAAGCAAAGCTTGAAAGTAACAATTCTGTATCTGAAATAACACTCAACCGGGAAGAAAATCGAATTCAATTTCCATCCTAAGAATTCAATTTCCATCCTAAGATATCAAGACGACACGTTTTTATTTATTCGAAAAGATCACAGGTTAACATATTTTTTCGTTAATATAAAAACATTTAAAACGTACAGATTTAAATTACATAAAAACATATGCAAAGATTTTTAACAATCTGATGTATATTTTAAAGTTTGCAGTCGATTTGTCTTCTCAAACAGGCTCTTCTCAAACTTTTATTTACATGTAAAATTGTGAGAAAGCTTTTGATTTTTCGGTGTAGAAATATGTCGTACGCGTTTCTTTTTAAATCAAAAGTAACATCGCAAAACATTTGCAAGGTTCTTTCCTCTTTAGACAATCACTAATATTTCACAATAGGTTATAATCGAAAATTCGATCACTGTACTTTCAGTAATTCATTCAAAATCAGTTTTTGGCAAATTGTTTAAAGAAAGTGTTTTGTTGGAATTAATACAAATAAAAACGCACTTGCTTAATTCAAAAGAACATTTTTTAACTTTCCATCCCAAACAAGTTTAATCAATTAGCTAAATGTATTTATCTAATTCAAGGCCAAAAAGTCGTCGGCTCGTAGGTCTTTAACCAGCGGTATTCACTCTTCAGAAAGTTCTGGGTCTATAGGACAAACATGTTTAATTGGATTAGCAGAGATGATGTCATAAACTACAATTAAGAGCTTGACTGTGCAAACACAGGCACGCGCTGAAAGTGTTGCTAACAAAAGTCACTGTAAATCAATAAACACAATACAATTAATAAACGATTTCTAAGTTTTATAGCAACTATATTTTCACTATTTTTAAATGACCAAACATTTACAAAATTGCAGCATACTTATTGTCACATTAGTTTTATAATTCAGTGACTGCACACTGAACATAGATCATGTTTAAATGTCCCATCGGACCCATTTTACTCCACCGTTTTTTTAGTGCATAAACAAATGTGATTTTTTTTACTTCACAAAAAATTGTCTCTGTAAGTTTGCCATGTATAATAGGCTGTATAATAGGCTGTAATTTGTCTAACTTTACGGAATTAAAATCAGATCAACTTCTCGCTGTTTCTTTAATTATTTGACTTGCAATAAGAAAACATTTCCGTTGTCAAACGATTTGCGCCTTTTTCCCCCGCCTCACATAAAGAATCTATTTTAAGAAAAAATGTAAAGATTGGGTTTCTTTCGGCTTGTTTAATGCCAGATACAAGGTGAACACGGTAAGACTTCTCACAGGGAACCAGTGTCAAGAAAAGGTGATAAACCTGCAGCTCGCGTGCTCCCAATACCTGATAATTAAGTGAGTTGGAGATGTAAGCCTGTGTAGGTGGTTGAGTCTATGCTCAACATAGCTATCCAAAGCAGAGAGGCCTCGAAATATATAAACCTGAAATTGAATACTTGGATTTCACTGGCCTGAAGCGACCATGGTGGCTTCACTGACACCTTAAATGCTAGAAAAAAGGTGTTAACAGCAGCATGAGCAACATAAAACTATACATATCTATGTACTTTTAAGATGTGTTATATATATATTTTTTAAACTAATCTAAACGCATTTCTATTTGAATATATTAGTAAAATCAGCCTCAGTTGATTCAGCTTCTGAAAACACCTCTTATGTGTTGCTGATCTCTGTATTTTTTCTTAAGGTTTAAGGTTTTCAGTGATGTGCATCGAGTTTAATTATTCCCAGTGCACCTGTTACTCATTCGAAGTGGGTGCAAATGCAGAAATGAGCGGGCAGCGGATTACAGATCATATATTTCTCTCGACTGCTCTGCCTGGATGCATCTGCACCGTTCTAGGGGGGTTCAACTGCAAAAGTCCTAACAGCCAAGAAGCAATAAATGTCGCCTTTATGAACAGCCATTCTCTTCCTGCCCCCAATTTTGACAGCATCCGGCGGCACACTTCTTAAAGTTCTGTTCTTCTTTCATCAGAAAGCCAGTGGGTGAGATGGTACAAGCTGCGCTAAGCAGTCAAGTCACACAGCAAGCTCACCAGCTACTCAAAAGCGTATCTGTTTTATCGCGTCCATGAAAGATACAGCGGAATTGTTTTAATTTCTCTCTAATTCATGAGCGGTTGTGTGATAATGAGCCAGCCGCCATAATATACATAAAACCATGATACTCTGATTATCCTGGAGGCTACGCGGCAATTGCACCATTTTGTCACAACAGAAGGAAAAGTCAATTTGAAGGGGGGCTGTAATTGGGGAATCCACCCATGGGCTGTTCCTAAGACTCTGCTAACGGTGAGGTGGAAATTACATCTGCTCATATTTCTCTATTGGCATGAGGATGGAGATGTTATTAAAAACCATATACGATACAAAAATAAGTTACAAATTGCAGTTACAGAAAAACGCTTTTTAAAAGCGTTATAAGTTTATTATTATTTGTTGTTATTGTTATTATTATTATTAATATTATTATTATATACCATTAATAACAACGTGAACAACGATATGCATTTCATGTGATTAAATAAATTAATAAAGACACACAACTCCGCACATATAAACTTTTTGACATTGCATTTTTTCCATTAACCTTATTTAATAAAGTTGCACGAGTTAACGTAAGCCTCCCAAAAAGTTTTGGAGACTTTTTGTCGCACTGTAACGAGTCTGATTTACGTGGCCCCTCGACTCGAAGCCATGGCAACCGCAGACAAAGACCGGAGGAGGTTTACTGGGGTTTGTCCTTTGATCTGTCTCCATTTCAAATAAAGAGTCAGCTCAAAGTCTCCGGTTATTCACAGAGAACTATCCTTCACTCAAGTACACATTCAGGATTCTGACAAAACATTAAGCTTATAATACCACACATGAGCCAAAGCTTTTTAACAGCTTATATAGAGAAGTGCATGATTAATGCATCAAAATATGGAGGAAATATACAGCGTAAGTTTTGCAATAAACGAACTCATATTGGATTTTTGTGACATCAAGGTGTGCGTTAGGAATAAAACAAAAGGTCTGACTGACTGGTTCATAAACAGTAGAACATTTAAAACAGATAAAATAATAACCCACATTTTAATACGTTGCAAAAATAATTATCAGAAGTAAACAGGGCAATAAATAATATAAGCCTTTAATGTGTTTCTTATTATAAGAAGTAGCCTAATAAAAACTGCACGCAAATTTAGAACTTTAAAATAGGGCTAGTTGAATGCGATAGAATTAAAACACGACAAAAACACAATAAATCGTGGATGTCTGTTGGTTACCAGTATATTCCAGCACAACATTAAATTTGCTACCATTTTATAACAATCGATAAGGTAATAAAAAACAGTACTCACTAAGTTAATATGCCCAAATGCAATAACAATTTGTATTTTATTGTTTTGTTAATACTTCCTCAAAACAGCTTGAGGCATAAATTAGCCCACTAAATGTATTCCCCCAGTCAAATAGGCATTCGTGTCGCACTTATTTTCCACAATAGTATATATTAAGTTATTCTGCGGTAACGCTATTGCAAAAAATTCAAGTCACATTAACCAAGACGTAAAAATAAATAAATAAATGAAATAAAATAAAAACCACCAGATATTTTACAACAATTGTCGAGTTCAATTTCCACTCATTACCCCAACTGCCAATAAATTCAATTTCATTTCAATTACATTATTTCTAAAATGTTTCCTGCCTGCTCTTGTTGTAAACGATTCGTTTTATTGCAGGGGAATTATCTTTGTTGAAATGAGTTTGTCATATATTGTCTAGCAAAAAGAATGAAGTCATTATTGGGAGATCCCTCGGCGAGAAATTAGGCGAGCAAAATCCTCCCTGCCACACGGGTCCCATTGAGATTAATGAAAAATATGTAAAACGTTTTCTTTTAATTTTCCTCTGAAAGCACTTTGCATACATGCATTTTCTCTGCTGGGTTGGTATCAGATAATTTATGAGAGCAATCTCAGCACATAACCATCAGGACTGTGTTTCAAGCCTAATTGAGTGCTGTCAAGATTAGGTAAGGTCCTATTCGTGTTAATTGTATTGTACTCTCTTTGGGAATACTAGTAAATGTATTTAAATAATTCTGCCTTGTGAGCTGAAAAGATTATGTCAACTTAATAGAAATGTCATGACAAATGACAAAGAAGTGGGAGGAAGTAGCAATTGCTGATCTATGGAGCAGAGTCCGCAAATCCTTTATATCCTGAATCTACTGGCTACACATATCAGTTTCATGATAATTAATGCAATTAATGGTGCCTTTGGCACACAGACCACAATTAATTCCTTAGCTCAATGTAATTTCACTTCACAAAGATGATT